CTGCAGGTCTTTCTTTCAAGAGGTATCTTTTATTCTTCTAGCCGCTCCAGGCTGGTCTGCTCATTCTCTCAAGTGGAGATTTCTCATCTCTGGAGATCTGGATGTGGTTCCGGTTTCTACCTATAGTTTCATGCGCCACCGGTATTTTAAATACCATTAGGGTCACCCATGGTGGACAGGTTTCAGTAAAACTTCCTGGTTAAGAAAGAGGAGGAAGGAGAGGCAAGCCACTTCTAAAAAGGTTAGCCACAGAAACCTTATGAATAGCAGAGGAGCACGGATATATGCCACAAGATAAGCTCCTCACATTGGAAGGCACTCACTCAAATTATTTAATACTGGGGAAGAGCTGCCTCCTCAAAGTAGAGTTAACCGTGATGACATGACTGGGTTAAAGCTTTTGGGATCCTCATTTGCTGATGGAGTACAACTCAAAATTAGGAGAAATAGCTGTAAACATCCACTAATAACTGGAACATCGACTATATGAAATATGAATCTAGAAAAATTAGAAGTCATCAAAAATGAAATGGAACTCATAAAGACTGATATCCTTGGCATTAGTGAGCTGAAATGGAATGATACTGGCCATTGTGAATCTGACAATCACATGATTTACTATACCAGGAATGACAAACTGAAGAGGAATGGAGTCGCATTCATCGGCAAAAAGAACATATCAAGATCTGTCTTGAAGTACAATCCTTTCTGTGATAGAATATCCATACCCCTACAAGAAAGACCAGTTTATACTACTACTATTCAAATTTTCACACAAGACACTAAAGCCAGTGATGGTGAAGTTGAACAATTCTACCAACTTCTTCATTCTGAAATTGATCAAACATACAATAACTACTGGTGATTAGAGTATGAAAATTGGAAACAAAGAAGGATTGGTAGCTGGAAAATATGGCCTGTGACAGAAAGGATGCTGGAGATTGCATGATAGAATTTTGCAAGACCAATGACTTTTTCATTGCAAATCTTTTTTAAACAACATAAATGGTGACTATTTGTGGACCTCACCAGATGAAATACACAGGAATCAAACTGACTACATCTGTGGAAAAAGATGATGGAGAAACTCAGTAATAATCAGCCAAAACAAGGCAAGAGGCTGACCGCAGAACAGATTGTTTATATCCAATTTCAGGTTGAAGCTGAAGAATACTAAAACAAGGGTTGAAATATGACCTTGAGTATATGTCATCTGAATGTAGAGACCACTTCAACAATATATTTGATGCATTACACAATCATGACTGAAGATTAAAAGAGTTGTGGGATGACATCAAGATCATTCATGATGAAAGCAAAAGGTCATTAAAAAGACAGTCAAGAAAGAAAAGACCAAAAACAGATGTCAGAAGAAACTCTGAAAGTTGCTCTTGAATGCAAAGAAGGTAAAGTAACTAGAAAAAATATCAAAGTAAAAAAGCTGAACAGAAAATTTAAAAGGACAATTCGAGAAGACAAAGTCAAGTGAAATATGCAACGACCTGGCATTAGAAAACCAAAAGGGAAGAACACGTACAGCATTTTTCAAGCTGAAAGAACTGAAGATAAAAATTCAAACCTCCACTTGCAATTTTAAAGGATTCTATTTTAAAGGAATCCTGGTGTGGTACTATAGGCTAATGCGCTAGACTGCAAGGTTGAGTTGAACCCAAGATTGGCAGTTCAAGCTCACCAGCCGCTTCTTGGAAACCCTATATAGGGTCACTATTGAATGATGCAGAAAGTATAAAAAGAAGATGGAATGAATACAGAGTCACTGTACCAAAAACAACTGGTCGATGTTCAGTCAATTTAAGAGGAAGCATATGATCAAGATCCAATGGTATTGAAGGTAGAAGTCCAAGCTGCACTGAAGGCATTAACAAGGAAAAACAAGGATTCAGGAATTGACGGAAAACTAATTGAAATGTTTCAACAAATTGATGCAGTACTAGAGGTGCTCACTTGTCTAAGTTAGGAAATTTGGAAGACAGCCACCTAGTCAGCTGACTGGAAAAAAAAATCCCTATCCCAAATAAAGGTGACCCAACGGAATGCAAAATCATCAAACAATATCATTGGTATCATATGCAAGTAAAATTTTGCTGAAGATAATTTAAAAATGGTT